GCATTTTTCAGTTCTGCCCTCGGGGCCTTTGCAGAAATGCCCCTGGTACCGTACGTGTCACCGGTACTTATGCCGGCTCCCCGTACGGTACGAGGGGGGAGTCTCGACCAGTTCTCTGCTGCTGTACTCATACTCAGTGTGACTTGCCGTTTCGGCATTCGGAATCCAAGACTTCGACTTTGTGCCTTGCCACTGTGTCTGCGTCCGACCCTCAGTCCGAGTCCGTCGTGTCGAGTGAGTGAGTGTGCGTGTGTGCTCTCACTCTCTCCCTCTCTCTCCCTCTCTCTCATCTCTCTCGGCTCACCCTCAGCCTCACGCTCGTTACAATAGCCATGGCCACCCTTCCTCTTCCTCTACATACAGGACGAGGCTATGGCGGAGTACTGAGGGCTCTCCCTCCTGTCCAAAGAACAACCCAAAGCAGCTATGTCGCTGCCCTTCTGTCCCAAGGTCAACACCATGCAGCTATGCCGCTGCCCACTCAACCACCATGCCTGACTCTGTCCCGAGCTTCCTTGATGCGGCACTACCCCCACTAGGGCCTTCCAGATGCAGCGCCTAACAAGGTGATGAAGATGGTGCCTACCATAGCCAGGTAAGTACCTCACCACTCTCCTCCTTGGTCCCCTTCTCCCTCCTCCTCCTACCGGTAGAGCTCCACCATAGCCAAGGTGGAAGCTCCCGGCTTCTTCCTCCCAGCAGCGCCGTAGCAGCCAGCGCTCTTCCAACCAGCGCTCCAACAGCGTGACGCCCAACTCGCACACTGAAGAATGAGGCCGAGCTCTTGCCTCGGCCTCTTGATATAACGGCCTGCTTGGCCCTGGGCGGTGACTTCCAGGCCGCTCGGCCTCCCAAGCAACCGGTACCTCCTCCCTTTAGGAGGGAAACATCATTGCAGACTCTGATATTGCCCGTACAGGCTCTAGACTCAGATTGGATGGAGTGGTACCGGCCTAGACCTAGCCTACCGCTACTGGGCCCTAAAAATGCCAACTTTGTCTTCTTCTGCTCGGCCTCGATACCCGGCACATCTACTGCTACTGGGTGCGGTACCGGCCTACCTGCTAGTTGAGTGTTTTTCCGCTGCTCTAAGCACCGCGGGCCCCTGGCTCCGCTACTTGAGTGTTTACCCCGCTGCAAGCCTCAATGCCACGGCCACAGGTAAGTACTGGCCCTACGGGCCTACCAAACAAGCAAGTACCCTTGCCGGTCAGACACACACTCATGCCAACAAGCACTCAGACAGGCACGCACACATACAGACTTAGAAAACACAGCAGAATGCGGGAATCTCAGCAAGGCATCCATTCCATCGACAGAACTTCAGAAATAAGCAGTGTTCTCAGTCTGTGTTACGGCGGGTCATTACATGTTACACCAGAGCACATCAATTACCAACAACTGATTAGAACCACCAGACACGAGATAACAAACAGCAACACTAGAAGACACATAAAACACCTACACATCCCCAATCATCACAGAAAAAGCCCGCAACCACATCACTTGTAGGCTATCATATGGAAAGCAGCCATCTCTGTGCAAAAACATCCGAATCGCTGGACGCTGTGCCTGGAGGCTAGACAGACTCAGTAAGGTACGAAACAAAACAAAATTGGACAATTGAACAGACTCAATTTCCTGGGAAACACATCCTGATAAGAAAGGATGTACCTTGCCATATGCACGATCAGATTCATGCTTCCTAAGCATAAGTACACAACTCGGTATCTCCGTTAGACAGTGTCTATATACGTTCAGGTTCGTGGAATCTATCTAACAGCATTCAGTTTCAGTCAATTTCACTGCCTGATCTCCGCACAAAGGCAGACTGTTCCACCACACTACTACAAAGTTCATGCTTACAAAGCACGTATCTGGTCATTATTACACCCAAGTTCATGCTTTCCAAGCACAAGCATAGCACCAGCTGGGCTTCCCCTCAAAGCCGGAGTGGCCCGCCCGGGTTACATTACCAACAGCCAGCAAGAGAGACGAACACAATTCTTTGAGAAGCACACACTCTGCCATAATAACGGCCAAGTACAGTGGAGAGCCATGGGTTTAGAAAAACTTGACACCTGCCAAGTACAGTGGGGAGCCACGGGTTTCGAAAAACACTTGAAGTGAGGAAAATGAAGGAAATGAGAGTGCAGTGCGTACTGCACACTGCATACTTCGAACTTATCGCCTTTCCCTCGTCCATAGCTGTAGAGGGATCCATCAGTGCCTGGGAAATAAAGTCGCTCAAAGTCGTCCCCACTTGACAGGTCATCATCACCAGTGTCTGCGTCGTCAGACTCCTCTGCCTGCTTCTCATCATGAGTTGCAAGCACAGTTGGCCATGTATGCATATTTGAAACCAGGGGAGGACCAGAGGAGAAGGACCACTTAAGCTTCCCTGACTGGACATCCAATGCATGTACCATCCCATCGACCAGGGGAACGATGATGGTGTCGTGTCGCCTGCTATGAAATGCGCAAGTCACAACAACAAACAAAAAAAAGAAGCCACATTCACAGACAGATTCATAAGTGTATGCTGCAACACATCCGGGACTCTCTCTCTCTCTCTCTCTCTCTCTCTCTCTCTCTCTCTCTCTCTCTCTCTCTCTCTCTCTCTCTCTCTCTTGTGGCCCACATTCACAGACAAATTCAAAAGTGTATGCTGCAAGACATCAGGGACTCTCTGTCTCTCTCTGTTACATACTGTGCCTGCACACGGGGCCCATTTGCGGGACCCGACGGTTGCTGAGGGGCCCCAGGCCGCATGCTAGTCAGCACGCGCCCTGGAGGCCCACCGCGGCCTTTTGGGCCGCACGCACAGCCTGAGGCAGCACTCAGTTATTTATTTGTTCATTTATTTATTTATTTATTTATTTACTTGTGTGCTGTCTTATTTTTGTCTGTGCAGATGTCGTTCCGGACGTACAGGCCCCAAGGCAACACCTTGGGCCAGGTACACAGGGACGAGGCCTTTTCGAGGCCAGGCGGGTTTCGGCGCCTCGCTGCATCAGCAGCGCAGTCTGGCTACTCGGTAGGGGCCCAGACCAAGTAGACCGTTTTGAGGCCAGTACCTGAGGACACCCAGCAGACCCATCGCTACTTATAGCTGGGCTGAGGCTGGGCTAAGGACGGTTCGAGGTTGCTCACTTCTTGAGCAACACGCCGCCGGACCAGCGCTGCGCTAAGAAGAGTGGAGGTAGAGGATAGGGGGCGGGAGAGAGAGAGAGAGAGAGAGAGAGAGAGAGAGAGAGAGAGAGAGAGAGAGAGAGAGAGAGAGAGAGAGAGAGAGAGAGAGAGAGA